CGGGGGTAAACACCTACGCTCCCAGCCGGGGTTTGCAGACCAGGCTTTCCTCCTGCTGCCGCAGAGCCCTTTCCCGAGCGGGCAGGAGACGTGGAGGCACAGGTACAGGCAAAACCGAAACGCGGGGCGGCAGGCTGAAAAACAGCAAAAAAATAATAAGCAATGAGCCCACGCGAGATCCCCGCAATGCGAGGACGCCCAGAGAGCTGCAGGGTGGCCGCTGACCGGCACAGTACGGGAGGGAAAAGCCCGATTACAACATGCCGGGGACATTGCTGGCAGTAGGGAGGTTTGGAGTTTCTCTTGCCAGTAACTGGATGGCCAGCGTGGCAGGGGGGGCAGAGTTTAGTTTTATTTCACAGACAAGTCCATCAAAAATTAAATACCAGGTTTTGCTGCCTTTTTTTTTTCTTAAACACTGAACAAATATGTACAAAATATGAACAACATGAGGTATAAAACTGCAAGACTTTTAAAGAAAACTACTATGTACAGAAGCAGATAGGCACTATCTTCCCAAGGCTGTGTGCCTTACTTATCCTCCACAGCTGATGCCAGTTTTTCTCCTGCAGCAGGACCCTATCACTCCCCACGTTTTCTTCTCAAATACAAAATCTGTAAAAAAAAACAGTGCTAGAGATTTTCAAGGAGAAAAATATGTAATTTTTTTCCCCTGCAAATGGAACCATCCAGATTGCGAAGCAAAGTCCTCAAAAATCAGAGAAGGCACATTTCATCTCATGCAAGAGGAAAAATGAATCTGTCCAAAGACTACCTAATGAGCAGAGGTATGTCTCAGTAGAGAGCACCACGGCAGGTAAAAGGGTATGAGCATAAGGCACTTGTCGGGACAGTCAAATCCCTCCCTATTTCACAGAACATGTTTCTCTGCTTGACAAGGGTGTTTAAATTAATCTATTTAAACTACATTTGTTTACACATACAAAGGGTTTAGTCCTGCAATCCATACTCACTTCCACGCTAGCTAGAAAGGAGTTTTGCCTGATCACCAACAGCAGCTGATTCAGACCCCCCATGAGTAAGGACAGTGTGCAGTATTCTATTCCAGTTAGAACATTGATTAATGTACAAATATATCTTACAAATAATTAAATACAAACCATGTTCCTTTAACCAAATACGAGATCTGCCAAAAATGGACTGTTACCAGAAAATACACCTTTCTTTCTTTCTCTGCTTATTATAAAATGAGTCTATTTGGTGTTGGGTTTTTTTTTTTCTTTCAGTAGAACGGTGAAAGTTCTCTCCTGTAGCATTCTTCCAAACCAGCCCCCGGTAAAGTGCAAGCCGAGTTAGGGTCCACTCTCCACATGGGGCTATTAGTGGGTAGGATTGTAATAGCCTTTATCGCCTTCAATGTCCACTTCTTGATCAGAGTCGTCAGAGACATCTGACTCCAGGTCCTCCTGTGAGGCTGGTGAGGGGGTGTACTGCGAGCCGTCCAGGGAGACCTCCTTACTCTTCTGCTCAGGGGTCGGGCAGCTCTCTGGCCTTTGGTCACTGTGACTGTCAGCACCTTCCACTTCTTTTTTGGTAGCCTGGGGGTTCTCCTGCAATGAAAGAAGGCTGCTTTATATGGAAATATGGGCCACGGAATCAGGAGGCCTGGGAATTCCAGCTGCACTGGGTGGGAAAACCACCTTGGGTTTCTTGCAGGAAAAGGCAGGTGTCCCGCTACATCTCCGGGCCTTCTGCCTATAAACCTGCCTGAGTGGGACAGGGCCGGGCAAGGGCTCAGCCGCACGCAGGGGCTCGGCTCTGATCCTGCTCCGTGACAGCCACAGGAGCTGCTGCCGTGAATAAGGCTCCTTGGCGATGGTTATCACAGCCACTTCAAAAGAGTCAGGAGCTGCCAGAGCCCAGGAACCTCTGAACTTTTGTCTTTAGCAAAGCAAATGTTTATTATGAGTCTACAAACACTGACACACAGCTTCCTCCTGCCCTGATCTTTCTTTAATTACACCCAACGGCAAAAGGAGGGAGGCTGAATCCATCAGTGGCCCGAAAGCAAACGGGAAAAAATTACTAATTAAGCTAAAACTCAACATTGAAACACTCACCATTAAAAACAAGCCAAAACAAAACAAAACCCCATTTCCGAAGGCAGGAGTAGCCCTGCGTCGGCAGCCACCTGCAGAGCCCAGTCCCCTAAGGGAGCATGAAAAGATACTCTGAAGAGAAAGCACGCAGAGACACGTACCCGTGATATAACCATGCGGGCTCAGAGAAATGGATGTGACTGAATGAAAAGGAGGAAATGACATAAAATGGCCGAGATTCCAAGCGAGCTCTCCGGACACTGCGGCGTGGCTCAGGCCCCACCGAGGAGCCACCACTGGGGACCCATCCCGCCTCTTGCCGGAGTGAAAGGGTTTTATTCAAAAATTAACTGAAGCATGGGTTAAACCCAGGGGAAGGTCACAGAACAAATATATCTCTAACATAGCACTGTGATTAGTTTTCTTACTATTTTTATATTAAAGGCTGATTTATCAGTAAAACTCAGCTGTCCATGTCACAATTATTGAAACCAGACTCGGGCCACAATGCAGGGATTTTTCACAAATCTTTGAGCCAAGGTGCCTCAATCTGGCTGAGCTAGACAGGATTGGGCTCTCTGGGCCATAAAAAAAGATTTATCTATTTGAGCACAATTTCTAAGGGAAGGGAAACCACTTCAACCTCTCAGCCTCATACACTGTAACTATTTGTAAACGAAAAGTAAAAGCTACTCAATTTTTCATGTGTCTCCTCAAAACAAACAACGCATTTGTACCTGCCTTTCCCAGCATTTGCAGAATAAATCGACTTCTGTTTATTAAGAGAGGGCGATTTAAAAGACCAGTAAATATTCTTCTCCAAAACAACTGCCTAAGTAATTTACTGACAATTACTTATCTTCTCCACGTTAATTGGCTAAACAACATATGGGTTTACAAAACAATTAGCGTGGAGTTTTAATAGGCGGTGTGTGAAAGCCAGGCATAATTGATATAGGAACTACATTAGGAGCTTTTAACGTTAGTGCTGCCTGAATGAGCCCTCATGGATTCCAGCATGACTATTTGTCTTTTTAATCAAGGTGAAGAGGTTAAACAGCCTTTCAGATGACTTCTGCATACAACCTGGAATAGACGAGCACGGTGTAAGATAAGACAATTAAAATACTTATTTCTATAGAAACGGAAACATCCCCGTACCTGCTTTAGACGCCTCCATTTGGCTCTGCGATTCTGAAACCACGTTTTGACCTAAGCAACGACAACGAGAGAAGGTACAGGGTAGTCTCGGAGCCGGTA